GATTATTAGCATGAAACATACCTTTTCGTATTTTGCACATTTGTGCGTCCCTACACTTCTTGTATATAAAATGTTTGTGCCAGAGTGTGTCCACCTAACGTATTACGCACATAGTCATTTACTTCTACGTCTTTACTTTCCTCTATTTTAAAATGAAATGAAATTCAGATGGACATTAGAAGTTTACATAGAAACCAACACGCAAAATATACATACATAAAAACAGCCGACAGACTCTTGGAGAGCTCTAAATATAAAGTTTATGTAAAAAGACAAAAACAAAAGAGATGGAAGCCGTATGCAAAGTTCGTTACTGAAGTAGGTATGTTTGTATGTATTTATCTATGATGACCAAAGAAACATCTATCGCGTCGCAACAGGACATTATTGTTTCTCCTTCCACTGTCATATACAAGACAAATAATAACAACAACAACGGCAAAAACGGCAACAACGGCAAGAACGGCCTCACCAACAACTAAAACAATAACAACTTAAACAACTAAAACAGCAACAACGTCAGTTATATTAACGACAGCATCACAGACAACGAACCATCCTTATGAGAAGTGCTCACTCGACACTAATAAATTCGAGAAAACGCTAAGGAGGGCCTCTGAAAACTATGCAAAAATGAACAAACATAACAAATCGTGCCAGGAGGAGCTCATTCCAATCCAGAATCCACAGCTACTCTTATAGAATTTCTGATTTATCGCAGCGCGCACTCTTTAGATTTTCCTACGAAACAGTTTTGACCAACGTCCGCAACGTCCGCAACGTTGTAGATGACGGAGAATTTTCCGTCTTTCTTGCACACTACACCGTCAACACACACACACACACACACACTGCCACACATGCAGGACTTTCTGTGTATTACGAGTATTGCAAACGCACACAACATGTGTTTGTATATATGTGTAACTGTCGTCTGCTTGTGTCTCCCACTCTTCCTTCTAACAAACATCAAATGTAATATCCAGCGTAAATTTACATATTTTTACATCTCACCTCACACCTATATTTAAAGAAAATTTTCGCGTAAATCGAATGATGAAGGCGCATGTGGCCAGCATTCAGCTTTTTGGGATACAATTCTCGTTTTTGTTGTTATTGTTGCTGCTGCTGCTGTTGTTGTAGTTGTTATTGTTATTGTTATTGTTAGTGAGGACTAGAAACTAGAAACTGACTTCGATTGCACATACCGCGCAAATACCTAGTAGCGAGTATGTTTGAGTACATATGCATAGATGAGGACTACTAAACTAAAAGCAAAAGTAAGTAATACAGGCAATGGTCAGCAGTGAAATGGTGGTAAGGGACGTCGTACGAGTGTATGCGACACAACTTTTGGTAGAAGATTTACCCTTTCTCTCGCCACATTCGATACAATTTTAGATTCTTCATTATGGACTTCTTTTATACAGGGTCAATCAACCGATTTGGTTTAATGATTAATTAAAAATAAATCAATGAAATAAATGCATGGAGACAAATTAAAGTTAAATAAAGTAAAGAATAAAATAAAATAAATATAAAATAAATAAAGAAGTACAAAACAGAAGAACAAAACAAAAAAATAATTTGAAATATTTTTTTTTATTATTAAATTTATTATCTATCTATCTATTCTAAAATATAAATTTATTATCTATCTATTCAATTATCTTAAACTAATGTCTTTTTCGATTGGCAAAATAGATTTGTTCTCGATCTATTATTTTTTATACGAAATTTGTGGATCAGTCGAATATGTTTAGGATGACCCTAAACATAACATAACCCTAAACATAATAAATATTATTGCCAAGTAACATAAAACAGCTGTAAATTTCAAACTTATTTTTATTATTCTGAAAAAATATCTAGAGTATTATAAAATAATCTCGATATTATAGATTTTGTCTGGAATTAAGCAATATGTAGACAGTACTGAAAGTAAATTTCCTGCGAAAACGTTACCCAAGATTTTCCAATCAAAAACGATATAATTATAATTAAGAATAAAACAAAAGAGAGTTACGTATTTAATCATAATTCTACATCAAAACACGGTGACAGATCCCATTATCATTTCTGATCGCCTTATATAGCACACAGCACACACTATATATTTACATATTTACCTAAGTAAATATTTTATATATAGTTTTTATTCGATTTTTTATTGTAATGAAAATTGTTTTTTATTATTTTTATATATATAAGTTGTAGTCATAGAACTACAACTTCTCTTATATTCAATTATGTTAATAAAGAAAATCAAATCGGAATAATTTCACTTAAGAAACTTTTAATCCATTTTTTGTAGATTAAATCTAAGATCTGATATAATTTGAAACGTAAATATACTTTAGTATCATTCAAAATAATTAAAGTATTTTGAAATAATATTGATTTCTAATTATGAATATTTTTATAAATTTATTTATCTAATGTCTTGCAAGATATTCAATTTGGTAAAAACGTGCTTTAAGACCCAAAAGATTTATTCACATTGAAATGTTTAAGTTTCACCTATGGTTCTCCACTTTAACATATCACAGTACAACAATATCACAGTACTATAGGTATATGAATTTATTTTACAAACAAGAAACTGAGACGTAAAAGCCACCTTTTACTTATTAACAGTATAATCAGATCTTATATGGTAAAAAATATACGCAATGTTGTCACCAGTTTACAAGTTTTGCTGTGGTGGCAACAGTTTAATTACGCTATCCTATAGTACTTGCATATACCATACATAATATCTAAAGATATATAAGTGATTTGTAGATATTTGATAGATAATTGTTTTGGATAAAGTGGTCGGAACTTATGTACATACATATATATATATTAGTTTGAAATGAAAATGATCGGGTTGCAAAATCCTTTAAGAATTTATATAACGATGCTTCTGAAAAGTAGTTTGTAAAAAAAAATTATTTTTTTATTTGCAAGAGGTTTTATAGTGGTCCACACATTAATGGGTGAACTGAGTAAATAATTCATAAAGCAATGGCTTAAGAAATTTTCCATTTTCAGTGCTGTGTATTGGTCGTTATAGGACAAAGTGAGTTTTCTGTAACTTAACTTAAAATTTTGAAAAATTTAACTTTATAGTTTATTATAATAAATTTACATTAATAATTTTATTTAATAGAAAATGTACAATCCAAGACTATAAACCCTATCTTTGATTCAACAGATATGTGTAAGGTAACCAAAATAGTTTTTCTAAGATTAAAATGTAATATTAAGGACATATATTTTGGTCAGTACCAAGAGGTTGAGTTATGTTGATCTTACATTCCGAAACAGAGAATTTACTTCTAAAAAATGTAGAAACATTTCAAACTCTTAAAGCAAGGAACTGTTTGTGTTGTGCCCTTGGTGAATGTTGAACGCACTTGTTGGTCGAACACAGAGCGTAGCTCCGGCCGTTCTTAGATTAATTATATTTTACTCATTTTAAGAGAAGGTGCTCTACTGGAATAACCTATTACTCTCATAAAGATATGCAAACGAAAATATATATATAAAAATAATGAAATGGCTATGTTTGGAAGTTTTTTAATTATTACTCAGCTTCATATATTTCATTTTAAATGAATTTAAGTTTCTTAAAATAGTTCAGGTACAAAAGTGGTATAATGGATATCCGACTTGAAACAAGACAATATAAACCGGTAGCAATATAATACATAGAAAACATGGAAACATATATGAAAATTAATTCTTGATTTAAAAAAGGGATTCTAGTATACGCTTTAAGTACATCCTATATCTTTTGGTATCTTATCATAATGAAATCAATAACCAGTTTAAAAATTGAATTATATAACTAATCGAAAGTTATGAGAACTTGTGGAAGGTTGTAATTTACCTGAAGCCATCTTATTACAATAAGAGCAATACCCAGTTTTAAAGTTAAGTTAGAAGGATTGTTTTTTTACAAACTAGAACTGAAGAAATATAAAGATAACTACTAGTTAATCAGTGTTCTTACACCACTTCGCAAGCAGTTGTATATTAAAAAGAGAAGAATGGCTATAACTAACAGCATCACAATAGCCTTATTAGTATCTTAAGTAATTCGATTTCGCTGAACAATTGATTACTATAACGTAATTAAAGCTCTTTGGTTCAAAATATTCGCCAATATGGTTTATATATGTGTTCAAATTTCAATTCTAAACCCCACATAGTAAAGATATTTCTGCAGAATATCCCAGCACTGTTAGTAGCCGTCGAAAGTAATCAAATATACAAATTTTGACTGCTAAGGTATTAGTCTCCATATTTTCAGATGGGCAGAGTAAGTTATTCATCAAAAAACATTGAAAAGCACCAATTGTAAAAGGATATTGTAAAGAAAATAAATCCAAATAAAGAACAATACACTATATCACCGGTCAATAACAACATTAACAAAGACTTTGAATTGTTCTCCAGATTTGGTTTCCAGCTACTGCTACAGATATAACAACAATTCTCTAAAAAAAGAAATTTGGTCCCAAAGAAGGGATTATGCAAAGTGGGCAAAAATAAAGTGTGCTACAAAGAATAGGTATGTTAAGGCATCAAATCAAATTTCATCTTAAAGTTCGTATCTTAAAGATACTTTATTAGTTTTATCATATTACTTAATTGTTAATAAGTGTATAGTTTTGATCAAATCTAAATTAAATCAATGTCCATGTAATGTGAATAGGCACCATGTATTGGAGTTTCAAGTGGCTACTGCTGCCATAACAACAAATAAAAACAATAAGAAAATTTGTTGCTAACAAAAACGAAAACGCACGAATATGAAAATGGATGAAAATGTTTTGGAATAACACCAGATGCTCGGACAAGTACATCACATAAGATGAGAGCAAGAAAAGGAGAGAATGTGCTTTAAAGTACAACGAAACAACGAAGTCGCAGAGGAGACTGTCCACGACAGGATTGCACGCACAAATACGCAAGAAATCCAAATTGTTTTCTGAGCACAGACCAAAAAACTACTTCTGCAATAAAATAGAGTTTGGAAAACGCGTCACAATGGGAAAGAAGACTTCACCCACTGCTTCCACATGACCACGACCAGCAGCTGCCAGCACAAATGCTAAATTCGTACTCATACGTAATTTGAAGCAATGCGGCATTCTACACAAACTTAATCCTTTCTGGAGTTCAACGCAACTATTCGTCATTCTCGCTGCCTGCTCACCTTCTTCATCCTTAACAATTGGATTTCGTTGTTGTGCCAAACTTAAGGAATTACATACAAACGTATATTTCATAATGCATACCAGTATCGTATGTGTGTAAACAAAAACCACAGCATTCGCAAGTCGAGGAGTTTGTACCCGAAGTCCTCATCTTTGTATGGTCATTTGCATATTCTTATGTGCTCACTAAGTGCGGCCAGTATGGAGTATCGAGTATGGAGTAAGACTCGTTGGACAAAAACGTGAGCAAATCTGCAATTTTGCCGTGAGAATTCGTCCCCATTTTACATGTGAATTCATATGCAAATGTCGAAATCGATGATAAGAAATTGAGAAACAACAAAAACAAAACGGACAGCGGTCAACACTAAACCAAATGCTGATTAGTAAACGTAAACGTGGACTGCCGTACGTAAGAATGAATCGGAGATATTCATATCTGTTGAGAAACAGAAAACATTAACGGCAAAGTAAGCGAAGTAGTGCATTCGCAGTTGTAGATGTACGCAGATACATCTACATAAATTAGATGACGGCTGCGAAGATGAATTGAATGACAACGAAGAATTAAAGAGTCACATATGATGCGTTGTACAATTCGCAGAGCAATGCATTAAGGATGGCTGAATATACGCACAAGAACTTTGAACTATGGAATTGTTATGCTTTTTAATTACAGTAACAGGCATAAAAAAGATACTTACCTACTTGCCCGCCTCTCAAACAAAACTCAGCTTCTTGGTGTGTGACTTAAGTGGCAGTCGAACTTACAACGTCCACGCAAATCAAATTTTAAGAGAGTCGATTGTGCAAGTTATGTTCTTTCTGTTTGGTCTCATTAATTCTCAATCTTAATACATACAAATACACTGTGAAAATGCAATATTTTATATTTAAGACATATTTTTATAAAACTTTACTTATTAGTAAAAAAAAAAAACAACGTACTGGTGAAAAAGCCTTATAAGTAATTATAAATAAATCTATATTACTCAATGAATTGCGCTTATTTCAAATCATTTCAATACATTAGGTTAAGGATAATGTAAGTCTCTCAAACTTATTATAATAATTTCAATGTATTAAGTTAAGGAGGATGTAAATCTTCCAAACTCATTATAATTATATTAATATATTAACCTAAGGATTATGTGATTCTCTTCTTTGCTGATAATATTTTGTTAATGAGGTGAACATGTTTAAATTATAATGATTCAGAAAATTATGTTTTTTTAATATAATTCAGATAATTTAAGGACAATTATGATCTATGTATGTATATAAATAGGCGTTAGATCGCAAAGCGGAGCATATATTTTTAGTGCTTTTGAATAGCATGTCAATATAACACGTACTTTATTAATATATTGCTTTAATCACCAAAATCTTAGCAATCATTTTTAGTTTTGAAACAGGTTATTTGGTTAAATATTGATCAAATAATACACAACTTTAAAAATTATATTTTATTTTCACCAATATTTCGACTATAGACATTAGAGTACTCTGAAATGGACTATTGGCTCATTTACTTGTTAAAAAAAATGTAAAACTCATTAAGTAAGGGCAATGGCGGGTCGAAGTTTCATTGTGTTTATGGAAAAAATATTTGTTATTGATACATTTTCATAATTTTTTCTTTTTTGACTGACTGCTTCACTCCACGCAATCTTTTTTCTAGGTCTACAGTGAGGCATATGATGAATCTAAGCACCTACACATTCTAATAGGATCACACAATCAATTATTGAAGAATCAATAAATTATATACGAATAATTAAACACAAGAATTATTTCCAAAACCACTGACGATAGGTATTCGGTAATACTCGAAACAGCTGTATAGTTAGCCAAAAATTCAGTTAATTGAAATAATATAAAAATAATTTTTGTTTCTCTAGTTCACTACTTGTAGAAATTTCTCTATCAGGATTAAAATATTTTAAAAAATCAAGTAAAATGGTGTGAATTGTATATAAAATCTTATAAATATAAAATAAATTTTTTATTCACAACTCTTATTAACAAATAGAAATTTTGAATATTAATATAATATACATACAGTAATCCCCCCTATAACGCGGTAGATTGGTTCCGCGTTATAGGAAATATATATAGGGGTATAGGGGTATTTCCGTATATACACGTGCAAATGTACGCGTAGCTAATTATGAACTGTACAAATCCTCGTGTTATATGGCGGATTGAAGTCGCGTAATATGAAAACGCGTTATAAGGGTACCGCTTTATAGGGGGGATAACTGTATATATATATTTATGAGTTGTTGTTGTAAAACCGACAACTCATTCATAAAGTTCACTTCACCATAGACAAAAAAATATAATCTATTTTATATAAATTAAAATGTGTTTTATAAATTAAAATTTGTCTTAAATATCAAAATGTCGATCCGTTAAAATTGTTTTTTACAGAAAATTTTTTCAAGTGTAGTTTTTTGCTGCAAACGGCAACGTGTTCAGTTCAGCAATATTAACACGCGCATGCACATATAAATACGTAGAACGTGCCATATGTGTGACGTGATACTACATACTCAACTCCAACCCAAGTCGTACGAATGTATGTTTCATACTCAAACAACGCACATAGTTCGGTCAAGTTTGCAAAACAACAAACATAACAAAAATCTTTACTTATAGAAATTTTCTTGTCCTTTTTCATTACTCTCACAGTTTTCACAGTTTTCATGGATAGAAGATAGAGAACGAAGAGAAATTAAGACGATGTCCAAAAACTATTGCGAAGGAAAATAAGAAAACGAAAACTGTAATAATAAAACTATTGCAAACAGAGGGAGGTGTTCTGCTATGCCTAAACAAAAATCAAATACAAACAATTAATGCAACATGCAGCCACATACGTACATACATACATACATACATACATACATACGTGCATCTCAACTTATGTCCTAACTGAACAATAATAATTTACATACACAGAAATATAATTACAAACAAAGCAGTCTCCAATAATTTCTTAAAGTTATTTTTCTATTTCTTACATGCACATACATACATACATACATATGCATATATATGTATATATATGTGCATTGCATTCGTTTCAATTAAAAAAGGGGCGAGACGTTATTTCATAACTTCGTAGGACGCCGCACAGTGCTACATAACGGTTGTTGCTACCTTTTCCAACATTTTTCGCAATTCAACGCACACAGAACAGAAATGTGTTCGTCAGACTGGCATACATACAACCTACCTACATATATACATACACACAGCTATCCATCTGCTCACGATTGTCACATTCATACTTGTGCAGTTGTGCAGTTGTGTAGTTGTGTATGTACTCGCGCATATGCATGCATGTATATACGTGTATTTTCTCTGAAACGGTCAAGCAAAGCAACAAAGCAAAAAACATAGGCCTGTAAGGATTCTGTTGCGAATGATTTCTTCGTCGCCTTCTTCGCCGTTAATCATTACACATTTGTCGGGCTTTCGGCTTTGGTGCACGGTTTGATGACAAGAGCAGCGCGCGCAAATAACAAAAACAAAAAGCAAGAACACAACTCGAAACCTACAACGAGCGAGCATATATTGTGTTGTACAATGCTACATACATGTTGTGTGTGAGTTGGTATGAAGCAGCAACACAGCAAGGCAGCAACACAGCAACACAGTAAGGCAGCAAGAACCGTGCAAATCCTTTTTCCCCGCTTTGCTCAACCGCGTAGTTTGTTGCTGTGCGCGAACTTGCATGTTTGCATGGCAAAAATATAATTGCGAACGTACAAGCATATCGTCTTGACACTCGAGCGAGACAACATTGAACGACGGTTAATGAAGGATTTTGAGCGCAGTGCGACATTTTGTGCGATTTTATTTCTAATAAAGTGTGAATAAAAATTTGTTTGGTGCATGCCATTTCAACAGAAAAAAAAATAGTTAATTAATTAATAATTCAATTTTTGTGAATTTGACATTTGCTGGGATAATTAACTGAATATAAGTGCATTAGAATAATTTATTGAATTATTTTTAAAGAAATAGTATTTTTTTCTTGCTGCTTATAAGTGATATTAAATTATAAAAGAAGAAATTTTTATATATTCTATCGCTAAACATTAGAACCGAATTTAAATCTACTTGCAATACCCGGCTATGCTTAAGGCATACGCGCTTCAATAATTCCAGAATAATTACTCCACAAATTTTGTATTGAAAATATTTTCTTTAAATCGGCTTAATATAAAGGTGAGTAAATAAACACGTGCTCTCTTCCGCATATAAATATTAATAAATAAAAGTTATTTATTAATTAAAAATTATTATAATATAAATATAACATTGACGTTATTTGATTTTTTTTTTAAATTCTAAAAATAAAATTAATTTACTTAATTCTTTTTATATAAATTAATTTAATCTTTTTTAAAAAAATTCATTCTTTAATCAAATATTGTAATTAAGGAAAAAATATTGTGTACTCATTCAAAACAAAAAAAAAAAAATTCAGTGTCTCCAAAGCAGTGTTCTAAGAAATATATAGAAAATGACCGGCACCCAGACCCAAATGACTTTATTTTTATTATATTCTTTTGTTGTTTTTGGTTAGTTTTATTCATAATATTTGTGATACTTTGCAGCTCATTTCGTATAATATTTAAAAAAAAATTTATTTAATTTTAATTAATTAATCTATATCTCTATTAATTATACATACATATATTAATTATATAAATTTTATATTATTATGTACATACATATATGCATGTATAATGTAAACTTAAGTCTCTGAGTGTCAAAGTGTCTTTTAATATTTGCGATCCATCGACAATTGTTTTTGGCGTATGCGCAATAAGCATAAATTATCCGATTACTTTTTTAATAATAAATACCTATATACATATAAAAAAAAATCAGTACTGATATATAATAGTTTCCTTATAAGCTGTAGTTCCCAGCTTTCTTCTTTAATATGCAAATAAAGTGGTTTTTATAATGATCATGATGTGAGATTGATTTTTGAGTATGCATTTATTTAGTATTCATTTATTATTTACAACCAATCATATTTATTATCATATAGTGAGAATTTGGTGATATTATATATTAAATGCTTGTATACACACATTTTATTTATATATATGTATTATTTTTTATTAAAAATATTCATTATAGTGAGAATTGGGAGAATATATTATTATATGCTTGTATACA